TGCCAGTTGAGCACAGATTACTTCACCAATGTCACGTAGAATGGCGAAGACACGAGGGAGATTGATTGAAGTAAAATGTTAATATGTAAAAAAAACAAAGACTCGAATATATAATTTTACAGTTGGTGTTTAGTAAATCTTTTATTTATAGTGTTCTAATGACAGTTTCAGTACAATAATACATCAATTTATGTATATATCTTCTATCTATTGCATCTAATATGGTATTCAAAGTATTTTGTCCCTAGTTTTATTATCTCACGATACCGCCAAAGGCAAGGGAAAGCTTAATCAATATCCAATACGACTTTTAAAGATTTTATTTGCTAAGTAATTAGCGAAGCGAATGGAAAGTTAAATAAATTATATAACAAAAATAAGTAGGTAACGAGGTTAATATTTTGATTTGGTAATAGATATACCAATTATAATCATCAATAAATATTGTGTATGACAGAAATAAGTATCTATATGTAATGACTTTTTACAAATCGTAATCTATACAGCATATCTATATATTATAGTATACTATAGTATACTATATATATATAATATAGTATATATATTATAGTATACTAGCGACTCACCATCGCTTCGTTCGAGTTCGTCCCTGGCTTGCTTCCTCATACAAACTTTTATCATCATTCTCACCCATTTATGGAATGAGTTCCGGGATAAAAACTATTTCACTCACTCACTTTTCATATCATGAGATTTAAAAAAAACTTATATAAGTAAAAACAAAATTTTCTTTTAATTTTTTCTATACAAAGCTTGTCCTGACAATAACAAACACAAAAAAAAAAGAATTATCCCATTTGGTGCAGTCGATCGGAAGTTATGCGCGTACATACACTTCGGTGATTCATTCATATATATATATATATATATATATATATATATATATATATATATATATATATATATTATATATGAATGATATATATATATTTATTAATTAAATAAGGCTTACCAACTAGAGTACATACACAAACTTAATTACTAAAATAACGCTATCCAATTTCTTTTTTGTATATTACTCTAAATTAAAGGCATGCACAACTATATAAATATATAAACCAAAGTTCCATTTATAACTCAAGAACGGCTGGACCGATTTCTATGATCTTTGATTTGTTGGATTTGTCTCCATCCCGAATAGCAGAATAACTATTAAAACACCGGAAAAATTCAAAATATATATATATATATATATATATATATATATATATATATATATTTATATTTATATTAAAACTAACATGGCTAACGCTGGCTAATAACTATTTATATCTATTTAAAACGTCTAGGTGCGGACGCACCCGAGCGAAGCGAGGCTAAATCACTTGCCTATAATATAATTAAGAAAATTTAAAATCAATATTCAATACGATTTACTCTAGGATAATTAAAAATATTAATAAACTAATACATTTTGCAGATAGTAACGGATAAAGCTCTAAGTTGATTAATCTCGTGCAAAGCTTCATACGGGGATGAATAGATGACATCATATCACGCTTCATAATAAAAGCTCATCAACGCCTGCTACTGACCAGGCAAATTGTGGCAACAATGAATTTTCCAAGGTTCTACGAAATGAGCTTAAATTTCCGATAAGCGTTTATTTTATTATGTTTGGAGAAGGAATTAAAATCTTAAAAGATAATAATTAAAATGCGAAAATTTGCCACGTTGTACGTCTTTCACGTTAGAAAAGTATGGACGTGTTTTTTGCTATGAACCAATTATAGTTTTTATTATTTTATTGTTTTGTCAAATCTCTACTCTTTTACTGTATGAATTGTTTGTTTGTGGAAACTTTATTGGTGTATGTACTATTTTTATTGTTATATGTTGTTTGTGTTGTTACACTGTATGTTTCCCTAATAATAAATAAAATAAAATAATAAATAAAAAAAATAAAATTACTACATATGAAGTGGATACCCAAATATATTAGTGTGTTACAAAAAGATGATTATAAATTACGAGGATATAAAACTCCTGTAAACTTACTTTCTAGCTATATAGCAGCAATATCTAAAGCTTTTTCAACTCAATGAAACGAATATATGCACTGACAAAAGAAATATAAATGCCGTTTGGAAATGCAAATGTCAATTTCCACGATAACAAAGTTTTGGTTAAGCGTACTGGAATTTGTTGACTGCACAGCATTCTTATTTAACGCTCATAGCGACATATTTTTAACTCCAAAAACTGAGAGTTTAGAGGTTTAACGCTTGTCTGACTGAATGTAAGATATCATAGCTGTCAACCCGATAGACCAATATCAGTACAAATTCAAAACTTTAATTAATTTATCTTATTATTTGGAATTATCAGTGTAATTCATATTGTTTCAAGTTAGCTCATTTTTACATATATTCATTTATACTTGAAGTTCCCAGTGCGTTTATAGTTTAAAAATAAATTCAACCAATTATCTTTCTTTTGTACCGTATCTTACTTTAATTTATTTCTTCAATTTTGACTCACTTCAAAAAAAGAAGACGTATACACGAGCTTTGTTTATTTTATTCACTAATTCCATTCGTTTTTGCAAATTTTCTTATTAAATAAGTTACAGCTTAAAATCAACCCTACATCTATACATATAATAAAATCGTAACTAAGCCAAATCTGTACATTGAATATTTTTTGGAAATTTTTATTGAAATAGACTTTATTATCGATACAGAGGCCGAATCTATAGTTTTTAGAATTTTTGTCTGTCTGTCTGTCTTTCTGTCTGTCTGTCTGTCTGTTACCGCATCACGGAAAAACCACTAGAGGGATTTTGATGAAATTTGGTATGGTGATAGCTGGTTATCCGGGTCAACATATAGGATACTTTTTACCGCGGGAAAATATCTCATTTCTGAGAGAAAAAAAACAAAAACTGCAATGTAAGAGTATACTAATATGTAAAACTTAAGAATTAGGTTTTTCTCATTTGAACGCGGGTGGAGTTGCGGGCAGTGCTAGTTTTAAATAAAATATTTCACCCCTAATAAAAAAAAAACGTTTAAAAATGTGAATACATATAAGAAGTAAATAATAAAATACACACAGCTACTAGCATTCCTACATTTTTACACTACATATACAGGGTGTTTAAGGAACTCGGTTACCACTTGGAATATAACAGAACTCGTTCAATTACCTACTACACATGGCAAGCGTCGACATATGGACACTGGCTCTCACGCTTCACCTTTCACTTTCGATACGCCATTGTGTTGCCCAATTGCAATTATCTAATCTTAATCATTAATCTAAATGGACAATCTACTATTGTATTAATTACCGCTACTAATGATACCTTGAAATTAATATTTAGTGTTTATTTTACGACGCGTTTGGCTCAGTTTGTAGTGACCCCACTTGTTGTGCCAGCGGTCGCGGGTTCGAATCCCGCTGGGGACTTTCATTTATGTGTTCAGCACGAATATTTGTACTCCAGTCATGGGTGTTTATATTTATAATATGTATGTATTTAAAAGTTATATATGTGTAGTGTATCAACTGTCTGGTATCCATAACACAAGCCAAGCTTACCATGGAACTAAATGGTGCTGTGTATTAATGTCCCAAAATATTTATTTATTTATATTTATTCTATCTTGTTTATGTCATTTTACTCAAAGCACTTATATTATTGGTATAAATGATATATAATGTGCCATAGCACTATCAGATTCAACAGTTAAAGATATACGGAGACTTTTTCTATTGCTTCTAATACAAATTTTTAAAACACATAATAAAGTAATAGACAATCACTTCAAAAACCAATTTTAACTAAAACAGAGGTAAATATTTTACCCCTATTTAAAAGAATTTTAGTTTATTCATAAATGAATTTTGTTAAATCTCACTTGAAAATCACCAATGATCTAATATGAAAACGAATCGAAAATCGATGGTAAAGGCTGATAACAATCTACGCTACGCGGCTTGTTTAAACGGTCGCGAATTGTATTTAGACAATTTTCTTGTCATAGACTTCTATTGTTTTTTTTTTGTCATTACATTGTACTTCGTAATAATTAAGACTTTATAATAATTACTAGCGATTTATGTTTTAACGTTTAGTATCGATTTCTCAGAGATGAGATATTTTCTCGCTGTAAAAAGTATCCTATATGTTGACCCGGATAACCAGTTACCGTCATACCAAATTTCATCAAAATCCCTCCAGTGGTTTTTCCGTGATGCGGTAACAGACAGACAGACAAAAATTCTAAAAATTATACATTCGGCCTGTGTATCGATAATAAATGTTTATTTCAATAAGATTTTCCAAAAAATATTTAAGGTACAGATTCGGTTTAGTTACAATTTTATTACATGTATAGATAATAATATTTATTGAAAAAGTATAAACACAATTTACAGTATAATACATATATGTAGCTATCACGAGTCATTTTTTTTTATTATTATATCACTTATGCATAATAAGCAAGTAAAAACAAAACACTATAAAAACAAAATTCTGTGAGACTCTTCATTAAGTTAACTAAGATTAAAAATAAAACATCACTTTATATATTTAATGAAAAAAATAATAATGTTAATATTACATAATTACTAACGACTTACCCGCCTTCGACTTATTGTAGTGGCATTTTTTTACACCAGAAACTTTCGCAGGCGTATGCAGAATAAACCAAAGTTTTATCACAATCAGATCAATAGTTTAGGAACACATACAGGACAAACATACGAACATTCATTTTTTTATATAGAATATACCTATAATCAGGAGCACTTTCGCTTTTAATTTTTTTAAATGCGTTTATATGTTTTTGAAATATATTTATTATATTTTTGTAAATTATAATTTTAATTCATTAGAAAAAAGGTAAACCGGCTTTAAAATCACTTAAATGTAATTATTTAACAGTAAGAAGTGGACTTTTTAATTTACATGGCTGAATGAGATATAAAAAATATTATGAATAAAAACAATAAAAGTGAATAATCGACTAATGAACAACAACGAAAGGGTTTTATGGTGGTTGTATAACTGCCTCGGTGGTGTAGTGGCTAGCATGTACGGCTGCACACCCGGAGGTCCTGGGTTCGAGTCCCGGGTTGGGCCAAGTTTAGTTATTGAGTCTTTCTGTATAGTAAGCCTCAGTAACAGCCCGGAGTTGGGAAGTTGGCGGTGTTTCACCCCCGTGCCTCGGAGAGCACGTAAAGCCGTCCGTCCTGCGCCTTAACTCTCACTGGTCGTGTCGAGTGGTCGTTCCACCAGAATATGAGAGTGACAGGAATAGAGAGTGCATCTGTGTCTGCGCGTACACTTGTACACTATAATATCTCCTGCGCAGTTGGCTAGTCTCAATGAGATTGGCCGCCGTGGCCGGAATCGGTCGGGAGAACATCATCATCATCATGGTGGTTGCCGTAACATAGCCTCAGAAAAATACAAATGAATTGAGTAGCTGATAGGGAAAATTCCTAACCAAACAGTGGAAGCTTTATTTAAATAATATAGACAAAAGTTCATATTTAAAATTATCACGTTTAAAATATATAAATATTAAATTTAAATTACGTTTAAAAATGTGCTTGAAGTGGAATCAAAAATTCATTTGCAGAGATTAAGCCAATAAGTAGTTTTCGGTTGGCAATTTTATCCACTGCCCTTGTCATTGTAAATATGAAATGTATAGTTACGTTATAAAAACTTTTTAATAAAAAAGTAAAAGCCGACTTCAAACAAAAGCACTAAAAAGTAAAAAATAACTGATTGATAGTTTTCATTTACTATACATACCAAATCAAATATTTTCGAAGTCGGTGTGCTGTCCTATATATTTATATTATAAGGAACTCTTGTACAAAATTTCATGTTTGTAGACTTAGCATAAACCGCTGTGCATTTTCTATCAAAGACATGAAGTTTAAGACGCTTATTACCTAGATTTTTAAAATTAATAAAATTGTACATAATATACAAGCAGTACCGAAAAAAATGGGAATATAATATTCTCAATAACATGAATCTATAAATGACCGAATGAATTCATTAATGAATCAACGACAGGTTGAAGCGATTTTAATTATATGAATCTGATATATTACACAATCAGAAATGACTTATGCATTAAAATAAAGCAAGATTATGTAAATTTGTAACGGCTTTTTTATATAGGGCTTTAATTATATTTGTGACGAAAAACTATAAATATTGAGGCGTGAAGACGTTCATAAATAATATATAAACAATTTATTTATAACTAATAGATAGAACTTGTGTTTGAATTAATGAAATATTTTAAAGTTATTTTAACGATTAGTATAATTTATATGCGTAATTATTTATTGGCGGTTTATTTTTAATTAAATATCTCAAATTTATGTTTAATTAATATCTTTTGTATTTTATAGATTAAAATAAGTGGAGTAGGTGTGTTCAATTTTGTTTTTGAGAAATTAACACTCTTCGATACATGCTTTTATCTTCATCTGAGATATGTTTTTTCTTTCATTGAAATCTTTTATTATTACTTCATTTTTTTTTAAATTAATATCCACATTTGCAAGCCAAAGAACAACATTCAAACTCAGTGTAACTCCAACTCCTATTAGTGAAATAATTTTCAGAATAGGATTATCAGTTTCAGAGATCCATATAATCTATATTATTATTTATATTATATATTATTATAGAGATATATCCCTATAATCTACATAAAAACATACAAAATTGACCCCTTTATAATATTAGTGTTTTATCATTTTCATTAGAATAATATGAGAAAATGAGTTCACTTTATTGCTTTATATTGTTACCGGTTATTAACGGACTTGAGTGAAATTCGAATTGGTGGATTCATCCCTATATACGTTTTAATGGTTAGTATGGAATAGATAGACAATCTAATATATAGGATGTATAGGACTATATAATATAAGGTATGATGAGTTGTTGTGGGTTGTATTATAACATGTTTTCCCGTGGGAATGAGACATTATCGTAAAAAGTAGCCTATGTCACTCTCCAGATTTTCAACTATCTCCACACAAAAAAATCACGCTAATCTGTCACTCTGTTTCGACTTGAAAGAAGAACAAACAAACAAACACACTTATAATATTTAAAAAAATATTGATATCAACCACGTGAGCGGATCACGGGTAAAAATAGTAACAAATATAGCTATTGGTATTTATATTATTTACTTATATATAGTTGCACGTGCTGCGTCTGCTCTAGATTTCTAGGTCTAACCGAGCTTTAACGATAGAGAAATCCCCTGTTGATCCTTCAAAAGCTATTTAAGTGACAAATCTACCTCTAAACCGTCATAATTTCAAAATTCATGTGTTAGATTTATTAAAGTGGTGGGTAAATTGCTTAGTCAAATGTTTAATTCGTATGAATTACGAAAGCTATCAGAACTTTGTTAAGAAATCTGATTCTGACATTAATATTTTTATATTTAACTTAGCTATATTAAAATACTAGCGGCTCATTCTCCCTTCGCTCGGGTTCGTCTCTGGTGAAAAAAATAACAAATTTATCCCGGGAACCGTACATTTTCAACCGGGATAAAAAGCAAATTTCATGCAAATCCGTTCAGCCGTTTTGGCGTGATTGAGTAACAAACATCCATTTAAACATAGAATCATAAAAATTTCATGTAGTAGTTCGTAAGTAAACAGAAGCATACTTATGCCCCTTTTGGGCTAATAATTTCTCAAGATCAAGTCAACTCAAGTGAAGATCAAGTGTTTGAGAGCAGATGCTAGTTCAAAATTAAGGAATTATAATATATAATTTCATTCCCTATGTATTTTCTTTCATTCCCTATTTCACGCCTTTTAAATCATGTTTTTTGCATAAAAGATATTCCAAATTAAAGATAACTCATCAAAATCGATTCAGCGGTTTTGGCATGAAATCATAACAAACAAACAATCATGCAGAAAAATGGAGTTACATTCGCATTAATAGTATTACATTGGATTGTAGAGATTATAGATTCGATTCTATATATTTTTTGAAACAGTTTGACCATGTTCATTTAGTCAGTTAGTTAGTCAATTTCTTCTCCTACATTGCACAGTTCTGGGACTACCAAAGGTAGGAACTAGAGCGTAAATATCTGATTGGTGAATAAACACAGATTTGTAATCGACATTGAGATCAAAGGAACGCATTAACTGCCTCGAATGGGAATGAGCGTATTGATGTCACTTTAGGACCTTGTAAATTAGAATTTTAGATATCTCACGTTGAACAAAGTTAGTCTTATATATTACTAGGGGCTGACCTTCGCTCCGCTCGGGTTCGGTCCAGTATAAACTCAGAAATGAGATATTTTCCCGCAGAAAAAAGTATCCTATCTGGTTATCCGGGTCAACATATATGTCATCATACCAAATTTCATCAAAATCTCTCCAGTGGTTTTTCCGTGATGCGGTAACAGACAGACAGATGGAAAGACAAAAATTCTAAAAACTATAGATTCGGCCTCTTTATCGATAATAATGTTTATTTCAATAAGATTTTCAAAAAATATTTAATGTACTGATATGGCTTAGTTACAATTTTATTATATGTATAGATTTGCTTTATATTGAAGCACTAATAATGACCAGGTCACTATGTAACCTATTAATCTAGAATAAAACATGACATTTTATAGACAGGACATATAAAAACTGAATAATTACAGCTGGCAACTACATCCGCAGTCAAAAACTGCCATTAGATGAAAAAAAATAGACAAAAAAACTTAAACTGTGTAAATTTTTAGGCTAACAGGTCTTAAAAGAAAACGCTCAATTTATTTTAATTGGAAATAATATGTATGTAAGTTAACTTATAAATTCAATAAAATTAAGTACATAAAAAGGCAGTGGTTGCCCAGTGGTAACGCGCTCGCTTGGGAAACCGAGTGAAACGAGTTCAAATCTCGGGTCTCGCACATCTGATATTTTCATGTGCGAATCATTTCCAACATGATTACCATTTGTCTTACGGTTAAGGAAAACATCGTGAGGAAACCTGCATGTCTGAGAGGACCTAGCAAGTTTTCAAAGACATGTGAAGTCCGCCAACCCGCACTTGGCCAACGTGGTGTACTATGGCTTGATCCCCCTCGTACTGAAGGGAGACCCGTGCCCAGCAGTGGGACGTTAAAAAAAAGGGCTAAATACAAGTACATAAAATAAATAACATCTTTAAGAAGTGAACCTCTATTGTTTCTATAACACAACCAAGGCTGGCAAGACACTTCCGAATCTATACATATGATAAAATTGTAATTTGTAACTGATTACTGTCTGTACATGGAAGAGATTTTAAGAAAAGCTATTACTGGGGATCTTTATTAAAGCAACAAAACCCAAAACCATAATTTTTCGAATTTTTGTCTGTACGTTTGTGCAGGCTTATTTCAGAAACGGCTCAACAGATTTGGGTGCGACTTTCACTGATATATTGTGGAAAGCTTTAGTTAACATTTAGTATTTGTTTTATTTCAATATGTTCATAAATAAAAAAGTTTAGTCAAGTCGAGAATCACCTGGGAACGAACCCGAGCGAAGCAAAATTGAGTTGCTAGTAACAAATAGATATGTATATTATATTCAATGCTTAAGACACAAAAATACGCTTGAATGTTTTTAAACAATTTAAAAGAACAGAATTAGGAAACTTATGCCCGATTTCACCAATCCCCTAAGCATGGTTAGGGGGCTGTTAGGGGACAGTTTCTGTTTCACCGACAGTTAGGGGTCACCTAAATATTAAAAGGCCCCCTAAATTTAGGTACTCGAAATATGGGCTTAAAGATGATCGTAAAATGAAATTTAATTTAGGGGCTAGTTTAGGGGACTTTTAAGCTAGGGATCCCATACGTAGGTGGTAGCTTATGGGTTGTTGGTGAAATCGGGCATTAGATAATGTAATTTAGCCTTTTAGCTTAAATTATCGCGTAAATCTGAGAAAGACCATCCAACTTAAAAAAAAAAACAATAAAATACAAAGAAACATGCACGTATTATATCAATATCATATTAACAACACCTAGATCAATCATAAATGTCCACTGAACATTAATTATGATTAAATTTGATACTTTCAAAACACATGCATCGAGTTTCACAAAAAACCACAAACAAATCGGCACGAGTATATATAGCGATATCATCTGAAACAAAATGCAAGCCATTTATTTAAATGCGAATGACCTTTTATGAT